CTCAATCTGTCTCCAAAACAGGTGACCTGTCGGAGGAAGGAAACACAGATAGAGCGGATGTGTGGCTTTTCCTTCCACAGCCAGAATAACAGCAAGGACACTTCAACTGAAGAAACAACCAACCCACCCATCACTACCCAAACTAACCTTTGCAACACTAATAAGCCCATATTATTAATCGATGCTTGTTGCACTTTCAAATTACGCCTGAGAATAAATTACACACTCCAGTCAGCGCTGGTTAAAGGTCAACACATTTTTGTGGCATAATAGGTTTGGCTTGACTGCAAATTGCAAATTAAAACTACAAATATGATAATGTCTTGCCTTATGATCCATCCACTGTCGTTTCTGGCTGCTTTAACTTTGTCTTTGGAGAAGGGCAGATAAAGCAGGACTGTGTGCCCTTTCGGTCTCTGGTTCACTGGAGCGAGCCAAGAGGGGATTGTGTCAGCCACGAGGATACGAAGACAAATATGGTCAAATCAGATGCAGCCATTTTGAGGTTATATGACCCCTCTTCTCATCCCGAGATAGCTATTTTTGAGTTCTCGGTCGCAGAGGCCCAGAGAGGCTTCAGTAAACATAAGCTCAGATTCACAACCTTCATCCACTAGCCTGGGTCTCTGACGGCTTCATGGACCTACAAAGAAGCTTTTTTACTCTGTGTGCTCTGCTCACTGCCTCTTTATCTACTGTCCGGCCTGCCTGGATAACATTATATACTGCAGAGCCATTACCTCACACTATTTCCTTAGTATTCAGTATTCATAATGCGTGTTTAAGAAATCTAAAGCTGGGGATATTTTTTTATTACTTAAAATATGTGATTCTTGTCTAGAGGCCCAAATGGGAAATTACTTGCAGCAATTTGGAGCTTTAAATGATTCTCTATCAGATCTGAAGAGGCTTTGTCTAATGCCATTTAAAGACTATATGTGACCCTGGACCATTTCTCATGGTCTTATGTTGCACTGCAATATTCAAAGTTATTGATTTTATTTTATTTTCGGCCAAAAAGCATTAGAATCAGTGTTGCCAGAGTGAAATAGTTAAAGTATCGTACTAAAACCTCAAAATTATCGTACACGAGTCACAACAGAGAGTATACAGATATTATCTAGACCAACAGCATTTTGACACAACGTGCAAATTAACACAATACGTTTAAAAAAAAAAAAAAACAACTAGGCGTACCTTGGCTTTAAACTCTACCTCTGAGCTGTCATCGGATATCTGTGTGTTGCCAGATGTTGAGGGGTTCATTTTGTGGTAAAAATTAGATGCTGTCATGGACCGTAACTTCAAGAGTTCACTCTTAGCTGATGATTGATTACAAAGCTTGTTTGACATGCTCTCCCGGGAGAGAGCCATGAGCTCATAAGTTCTTCAAGCCTGGGGCCCCCTCCTATTTGCAAGGCGAGAGGGGAGTTTGAGCTCAGGTAGATTTCGAGAACTCCCCTGCTGTAGAAGCTAATGAACAGATCGTGATTGCTCTTAAGAGATAACTACTTAGTAGGAGCATGTCTATGGTGCTGATTTGGATTAGTCAGTTAACTTAAGTTGCATGTTTTTGGATGGTAGGAGGAAACCGGGGAACCCTTGGGAAACCCACGTGAACATGGGGAGAAAACTCCCAAAACTCCCAAAGCATGGGACTAAGCACAGAAATGTCTACTGGCTTGGTAAGGACTAGAACCAGTGACGTTCTTGCTGTGAAGCAACAGTGCAAACCGCTGGGCCACTGTGCCACCCATCTAGGAAAGAAGGAGGTCTGGGGTGGAAGGGTTGATTGGTGAATCATAAATTGAATAATGCGGGGCCGGCTTCTATGGTTGCTGACCATGTCCATCCCTTTATGACCTCAATGTATCCATCTACTGATGGCTACCTCCAGCAAGATAACGTGCCATGTCATAAAGCACAAATCATCTCAGACTGGTTTCTTGAACATGACAATAAGTTTACAGTACCCAAATGGCCTTCACAGTCACCAGATCTCAATCCAACAGAGCACCTTTGGGATATGGTGTAATGGGAGATTCGCATTTTGGATGTGCAGCCGACAAATCTGAAGCAACTGTGTGATGCAATCATGTCAAAATAAACCAAAATCTCCAAGGAATATTTCCAGTACCTTGTTGAATCGATGCCACAAAGGATTATGCCAGTTCTTAGGGCAAACGGGGGTCCAACCCGGTACTAGTAAGGTGTACCTAATAAAGTGGCCGGTGGGTGTACATAAACTGACTGTACAAAACACAACAGCAAAACTTAGCACTATTAATCGTAACAATCACTATTAAACTTAACTCACCTACAACATCAAAAAAAGTGTTTGAGGTTATGTGCATGATGCAAGACCGAATGACCTTAAAATAGTATGTGGGCACTGGGAGGACAAAAAACAAAAGTAACATTTCTAAGTAAAGACACCAACAGGGAAGGCAAGTCTTGTACCTGCATACGGGGGCGCTTGATGCTACTTGTAATCCCTAAAACAAGTGGGACACAACTCTTGCACGTGGCTGAAACACAGCAGCACACACTGCCCTAGTGTGTTTCAGCAGTGGAGTGTGCAGACATGCAGCCAAGCAAGCCTGGAAACAGGAAGTGGCAAAGATGTAGCCGGACATCTGGAAAATATGATTTCTCTAAGAAATATCTGTGTTGCTCCACCAAACGCAGCATATGCCAGCACAGTGCAACAAACATATCCTCATGTGTAATCACAGGCGTGAGGTGGGGAGGAGTTCAGTAAGTGTAATTAGTGTCTAAAGAAACCTGTAATCACAGAGGCTGAAATTAATGACAGGACAGAAAGAGATAAACAATTTATGCCAGTGGGAGGAAGGATGCAGCGCTGTTTGAACGGGAAGAGCGTCCTGCGCGCACTGTCAAACACTTCCACTACAACTGAAAAGACAAACTTGTAATGTTTTTCAGCTGTCAGCTTAAAAGGGCGTTTCCTTATGTGCGCACACACACACACACACACACACACACACACACACACACACATAAAGGAAATAACACCAGAAACACTGATATTTAAAAAGTCATCCATTAGAATAGAGGAATAGTGACGACTCCCTTGCATCTCAAAAGCTAAATGAGACTGAATATAACAAGCTAAAAACTGGCAATAAAGTACCAACTTAATTTTTATTACTTTCCCTTGGCTTAGTCCCTTTATTCAAGAGGGGTCGCCACAGTGGAATGAACCGCCAACTTATCCAGCACATGTTTTACACACCGGATGCCCTTCCAGCTGCAACCCAATACTGGAAAACATCCATACACTATCATTCACACTCATCCAGCCAATTTAGTTCATACAATTCACTTGTACCGCATGCCTTTAGAGAGCATGCAAACTCCACAGAGAAATACCAACTGAGCAAGCCGGGACTCAAACCAGTGACCTTGCTGTGAGGTGACAGTGATAGCCACTGAACTACCGTGTTGCCCTTAATGTATATATTACGCTAAAAAAAAAACTGATTAATTGGATTTACTAATTATTTTTAAGGTAAGTGATTGCAAACTTTTTAAATGAGCTGAATTTAAACAAATTAAATTCAGTAATGTTCAATTAATTTGTTTAAATGTAGCCCATATGTAACTACTTGGCTTAAAAACATAAAGTAAATACAATTAATTTGTTTTATTAACTACAATACACATCTTTATAAGAAAGTTATTATTTCTGAACATTTGTTTTGTATCAAGTGAGGATATGGTCCATAAATAGTTGGACATTGCCACAATTCTAACATTTTTGGCTCTATACACCAAACCAACACAATGGTGTGCTTTAACTGCAGACTGTCAGCTTTAAATTGAAGGTATTTACATCCAAAGCAGGTGAACAGTGCAGGTATTTTAACAGTTTGCATTTGTGCCTCCCACTTGTTAAGGGTCCAAAGGTAACTGAACAGAATAATAATCATAAATCAAACTTTGTGGTGGTGTATAGAGCCAAAAATGTTAGAATTGTGTCGATGTCCCAATATTTATGGACCTAACTATATGTATATATATATATATATATATATATATATATATATATATATATATAAAGTGCTCAGCATAATTGAGAGCACCCCATTTTCAAAATTATTATTTTTAGCCAGTCCTCAGTTAATATAGGCAATGTATTTTGGTGCATTTAAACAAAACAGATTTATTAATCAGATATATTTATTAAAATAATATTTTAGCCACCCAACATATTTAGAAATTAAAATATAATACAAATAAATTCAAGCAAAATGTTGCAAAAATAAAAATAAAAAATACCATCTAAAAAATGTTAACTTAATTTTTCCATTTTTTTTTTAGCTTCTCTAGTTTTTTCCTCTTTTTAAATTTGTATTTTATATTATTTATATATTATTATTAATATAACATAAATTTGGCTGTACTAGTTTTTGGACAATTATTAAAGATATTTTGTTAGTCAAGCTCCAAATTTGGCTTGAGCACTGACTAATGTAAATGCACAAATATAATATTGTATAGCTTCCTATTCAAAATATGAATTGAAAAGATAGATATGTGAAGGGTGTACTTATATATGCTGAGCACTCTAAACAAGACGTCAATTTCACTACACAATAGGACACATACTGTATAACGGTTTGATGACACCTACACAAGTCCCTGATATCAATAACACAGACGTGCAAAGTTTAGTCGGCACAAGACAATAAAACTGCATATTGTGGGGCTGATGTCATCTTGAAACACCTGAGCGAATATACAGCTTCTTACGTAACTCTTGAAAACTGCAGAGGAAAAAGCTGCGATGAAGTTGGCTTTCACTGAACGCGATCACCTGTTGCACGCATAAAAAGTAAGCAGTCGAAAAACAAACGCTCCTCTATGACCAAAAGAGCCACGGTAGGTGATAAACACGTAAAAAGCACACATTTACACGAGTGAAAATACCTGGCAACTTAGGGAGCGCGCGATAGATGTCAAGACATTTAACTCACCGACTCCGCGCCAATCCACAACTGTAGAAATCAAAAAAGTCCACCAGCAGAGCACAGAAAGCTGATATCGCTCCATTAGAAACGCAGTCGAGCCCGTATCCCTCGCATTAATGTGAATGTAATCAAGCAGGCGTTTTTTGAGCAGAAAGAGTGGGTTTTATCGTGTGATCCGGACTGAAGGAGCGCGTCTCATTCTGCTGGAGTCAACAGTCACTGTGAGGGAATGGGCTTCAGTCAGTCACTTCTGCTCGAAACAGGAAATCTTTCCGAAAGGGCAGGACTTTCCTCCGTCTCCCTCCCTCTAACACAGCCTTTACTACAGCCTGTTATTATGCACATGCCTTCACTTCTAATTTTATTGTGTAGGACTTTAAATAATACGTTGACGGTATCATCGTGGGATTCGAGTCGTTAAAAGACGATGGATAGTCTGCAACACGACGCTCTCACTTGTCTGAAGCGGTTCCTTCATGATGTTTTTCATGCGGTGATATGTAGTTATTATGTCTATATTGCTCACGTGCGTGTGTGTGTGCGTGAGTGCGGTTAGACAATATCATGTGTTTTAAAAAATATTTTTTGTTACTTAATGCAAATATAAAATAAAAGTTGTACAAAAATGTGGCTTATTTTATACATTTTTAGACAACAAAATACCAATGCTTCAACTTCAGAAGAACATTGAAGTTGTATTTTAAGTATTAATTCAAATCAAAACATTAGTTATTCTGACAAATTCACTTCTCATTAGTAATTTTGACATGTTATAAGTTTCGAATAAAATAAATATTAATATTTTACTCAAACCCATTACTAAATGAGTAAATCCAGCAATTTTCAAATTAGATTTAGACAAATTTGTAGACAACACGATATTAATGCTTAAACCTCAAGAACAATAAAGCTAAAAAAATTTTGATCTAAAAATTCAATCAAAACAGATGAAAACATTTATTCTGAAAAAATGTTTAACATTTGTAATTTTTAAATGTTATGATATTGTTGTATTCAAATAAATATTAATATTTTACTTAAGCCCATTACTAAGTCAGTAAATCCAGCAGTGTTCCAGATTATTTTTAGACAAATTTACCAGAAATAATACTTTAACTTCAGTAGAATATTAAAGCTTTATTTGATGTAATAATTCAGTCAAAACAGATAAAAACATTATTCTGACAAACTTTTAACAAACTTTTTATCATTTGTAAGTTTGACATGTTATGATATTGTTTTATTCAAATAAATATTAATAATTTACTCAAACCCATTACTATGAATTTTCCCAGAGATGGGTTGCGGCTGGAAGGGCATCCGCTGCGTAAAAAAAATTGCAGGATAAGGCGACTCCGGATTAATAAAGGGACTGAGCCGACAAGAAAATGAATGAATGAATTACTATAAATCAGTAAATCCAGAAGTTTCCCAGATAATTTTTTTTTACATTTTTAAACAACAAATATCAACGCTTTAATTTCAGAAGAACATTAAAGCTGTATTTGATGTAAAATCAAGCAATAAAAATTGTATTAGTTGTAAGTTTGACATGTTATGACCATTGTCTAATAAAATAATATTAATATTTTACTCAAAACCCATTAAGTCAATAAAACCAACTGTTTTTTTATTATTTTTAGACAAACTATTAGACAAGACAATGTTAATGCTTTAACCTCAAAAACAATAAAGCTGTATTTGACGTAATAATTCAATCAAAACCCATGAAATAATAATTTAATCAAAATCCATTACTAGTCAGTAAATCCAGCAGTTTTCTAATTAATTTCACAAAATTTTAAACAAAATATTAATGCTTTAACCTCAGAAGGAGAATAAAGCGGTCTTTAATCTACAAATTCAATCAAAACAAATAAAAAAACATTAGCTATTCTGACAAACTAACTTTTATCATTTGCAATTTTCAAATGTTTTAGTTTTTGCATAAAACAAATATTAATATTTTACTCAAAACTAGACACAATATATCGTTTCTGCATTGATATCACAATGTGATCATTCGCATTAGTCACATCGCAGTATCTGCAATGTCAAGTTCAGCTACAGTTTATTCATCCCTTTGAGTTTTGAGTGGAATTATAGCTGACCAAGAACCATACTGTTGGGTGATTGTGAAGTTTAACCTTAATAGAGTGAAGGAGTGCTTGCTTGATTTGTTTTTAAGGCCTATGACTGCAGCATTTCAAGTGTATTTAAATAATTTATGTACAAGAAATTATTACAATACAAATGTACTGTATTTATCTTTTATACAATAAAGACTCTGCAGTTTTATTTGCTTCAATTTATAGTCTAATACAGTTTTATAAAAAAGGATTTATGCAGATTATCTGGCCTACGAAATCATCCCAGTCAATACAAAATTTTGTGCTCTTTCCAAATTGAGATATTCAAGTCATCTGGTGTAATAATTATATTCATATTACAATAAATATTGAAGAAAAACTAAATATTGCAATGTAAAATTTCTCCAAAATCGTGCAGCCCTACTCAAAATCTATTACGAGTAAGTCAGTAACTCCATTAGTTGTTACTAATGTTAAATTAAGGTTTTGCCTCATGCATTAGAAAGACCTACTTAAATTTAATTATGTGTAACAAAAAATCTCAAATCTTGTCAAGCATATAATAAACTTTATATTTATTATAATATACAGTCGTTTAAAATGACTGTATATTAAACAACCTATTAAGAAAAATATTACTCAATTGCCATTTTATATTGTTATAGTTGCCACAATCCTTCTAACCACTAAAGGTTTTGCTGATTTGTCAAAAATAAGTTTTAATTTGTTACTACAGGACAGAATAAATATTGATTAACCTACATTTTGATTTTTAGATTGATAAGAGTCATAATAAATTACTTTTAGACACTTCACTCAAAAACTGCTGGGTTGTTGTTGTCCATGTGTCCATATTTGACCCAATTGGCATTTTTAGAGCGTAGAAATATATTTTATCATATAATAGATACAAATTTATTTATTTAAAAAGCAAAAATTGATGCCACGATTTACACAATATGTCTATTGAAAGCTACCAGATCTCTTTAAACAGATGCACAAGTTTAATGTTAACTTTAGCAATCATTATTGACTAAATTTAAATACAACAGCAGGCAGTAGGAGGTCCTAACAAGCATATGGTATGTCTATGGCATAGATAGCTAGGTAAACATGAATGCACATGTGTTCATGTGGCCCCCAGAAACAGTTGCTGCCCTGTAATTATTATACCATAGCACTTGTTATAGTGGACAACCTAAGTGATCATTAGCCATGTCAGGCATCAAGTATAAACCATACTAAGTTACAATACAGCTGTCTCTGTCTGTGATTTAAACAGTAGGCCTACATAAGAACCATAAGCCTTCTGTGTTTTTTTAATGATTTTTTTTTTAAGGCAGCTAATGAAAGATTGAATTATGTGATGTCTCAATATTTAAGTCAATCCTGAGGCTTGTTTGTTGGATGGAGTCGAGGGATGAGTTTGAGCATGTAAAGAAGTTTGCAGATGTAAAGAGAGATAGAGAGCGAGAGAAGAGATGAAGAAATCACAAACAATACAGCACATGATGCTGTCAGGGGTTGCAGACCAACATAGTGCAGCATGTAGGACATTTTCAGTCGGGGCTGCCAAGATCTGAGAATGACTGATTATTGTTTGCGTATGACTATGTTGAAATCTTTCTGTGGATTTATATAACAGCGCTAAGAGCACAGCCAGGACTCTCAGGACACTTTATCCTCTCTGAATATTTACTCATCGCTAATGTTAGAGCTTCTATCTAAAGAGAGGTGTTCACACTAAGTGATTTGAAACCAATGCTGGTGATTTCACGTTCAGCTATATGATAAATGTTGCAACTACAGCACGCAATGATGAACACAGATGTCAGAAAACATTCGTTCACACACTGATGATCCATTCCTGCAAGTTATAAACATTCTCCTCTAGAATCTTAAAGAGATGGTTTATCCATTAATGAAAATTTGCTGTTAATTTACTCGCCCTTGGGGCATCCTAGATACGCAAGTCTTTGCATCGGTGGAATATTAAACACTGACTTGATGTGCTGCTGCTGCAAAACCACATTGTGTGAACTTTCATTATAGCTGCCTGTCAAAAAGTTATTACAAATTTAAAAGGATCACTTGCAATCAAGCAAGAGACGGCTTGTGTAGGCCTACCGTTTAAGTCACAACGCTACAGGAGCTTTGCATTCCAGACTGTTTTAAATGCGCCCAGAAGTATTTGCCTAGAGTATGGCTTAAAGGTAATGATGTAATTATTGTTCAGCTTCATGTACAGGACAATCTGTTCACTTCATAAAATCATAATGTATCATATGGAGCCATAGGTATTCGTTTGGATCAGCAGATGCCCTTCCGGCTGCAACCCATCACTGGGAAACATCCATACACACACATACACTTTGGACAATTTTAATTTATTCAATTCACCTGTACCACATGCCTTGGACTTGTGGGGGAAACCTGAGCAACCAGAGGAAACCCACACAAACATGAGAAGAACATGCAAACTCCACACAGAAATGCCAACTGACCCAGTCAGGGCTCGAACCAATGACCTTTTTGCTGTGAGGCAATTGTGCTTCTCACTGCGCCACCGTGAACTAACTATCATTATTAAAATACATATTGCAACATTACAAAATGTGAAGTGAATGACTATATTTCCTCTTATGCTAAAAAAAAATTTCAGATGGGGAGCTAGTGGTTGGGATGCACAAGAAAAGAAACCAAAATGTCACTCTGGCGACATCCTTACATTATTTTTTATTTAAAATCTCCTCAGTGCTGCTAGCCAAGGCACTCATTTTCGCATGTGTTGTTATTCTGACCTGAGGTGACAATTGCGAGCGTGTGGTTTCCTTTCAATGCGATTTGCGCTTAAGCTCCCTTGCCGTCTTTCTGTATAACTAGACGATCATCAACCGTTTCCTCAGAGGATGACAAACGGACAAACCAATCCTGCAGCTCCCAAGCAAAGTAAAAAGCACTGCAGTGTTTGGATGCGCTGTGTTTGTCTGAGGTAATTAGTCTACCGTTACTGAAATAGATCAATACAAATCGTGAAGCAGATTGGTTAGTTCTATTTACATGAATCGTGGTGAGCTTGCGGAATTCTGAAAAGTTGAGAGGTTTTCAACTAAGTGCGCCTAGAAAATGCCTG